CCTATATGGGATCCGAACCCGGGGCCTTGGTGTTATCAGCACCACACTCTCCCGAGTGAGCCACGGGCCGGCCCAGAAAATGTGAAGTTTTAAAATTTACAATACATATTATACTCAACAGGGAGGAACAACACAAAGGGCATAAACACCAGGAGGCAGATATCATTGGGGTCACCTTAAGGTCTGTCTGCTTCAGAGCGCATCAGCCTAACAGTGAACCTAGGGGAACAACAACATTTTGTTTTTGTTTTTTTAATAAAAATAATGTCTAATAGTTAGTGAATGCTTACTTTGTACCAGGCATTATTCTAAGCTCTTTTCATATTCTGATGCATCAAATCTTCATAACAACCTTCTTTTTTAGTTTTATTTTGTTTTTAATTGACACAATAATTGTATATATTATGGGGTACAGTGTCGTTTCCATACATGTATACATTATATAGTGATCAAATCAAGGTATTTAGCATATTCATCACCTCAAACATTTACCACTTCTTTGTGGTGAGAACATTCAAAGTCTTCTAGTTACTTTGAAATATACAATATAGTATTGTTAATTATAGTCATCCTACTGTGCCATCGAACACTAAAACTTTATTCATCCTATCTATCTGCAATTTTGTACCCATCGACCAACGCTCTCCCGAACCCCCAACCCCCTACCCCCTCCAGCCTCTGGTAAGCACTATTCTACTCTGAACTTCTATAAGATCAGCTTTTTTAGATTCCACAAATGAGTATTTACAGTATTTGTCTCTCTATGCCTGGCTTATAATATAATGTCCTCCAGATTCATCCATGTTGTCACAAATGACAGGATTTCATTCTTTTTATGGCTGAATAGTATTCCATTGTGCACATATACCACATTTTCTTCATTCATTCTTTGATGGACACTTAGATTGATTATAACCCAAACATCATGGCACTGGCATAAGAATAAACATATAGACCAATGGAACAGAATAGAGAACACAAATAAATCCGGTCACTTACAGCCAACTGATCTTCAACGAAGGCGCCAAGAACACACATTGGGGACAGTATAATCTCTTCAATAAAAGGTGATGGGGAAACTCGACATCCACATGCAGAGCAGTGAAACGAGATCCCTCTCTCAACCACAACATTTTTAAAAGAGTCGGCAAAAAAGAAGTGCCTATGAGAGAGAAAAGGAGACACAATCTTCAGAAACGTTAGTAGAGAACGGAGTGATGAGTCTCCCGAAAGCAACAAAAGGATTGTTTCGAGTTTACAGAATTAAAATCTGCAGAGTTTTATTAAGAGCTGCTAAATGAACTTACAAGGAATTCTATATAAATACTGAACGGGTTGTAATTTAAAATACGGCGCGGTCCTTGACGCCTTCTGACGACCGGAGGCTGCTGCAGCCTTAATGTCACTGAGGACCGCTAGGGGGCGCGCGGGGATTGCGCACCGTACCGCGCACGCGCACATCCTTCAGCACGCGCAGCGGCGCGCGCACGCGGAGACTCGGGCATGCGCACGGTCCTCAGACACGGGCTTGCGGGGCCGTTACTCCTCCGTGGCGGGGCAACCTCTGCGGTGCGAGATGTCCGAGCTGCCCGGAGAGAGCAGTGTCCTAGACATGGGTGCAGCGAGTGTCGTCTGCGACGTCCTGCAGGCGGGAGTAGGCGGCGGGAGTCGAGCACAGGAGGCCCGGCAAGGTCCGGTGGCCGACGCTGCCCGACCCGTGGCGCGGGTCCTGCGCGCTGCTCACACGCCCATCCCCAGCGACGTCCCCGGCCCGATGTCCGTGCCAGACCTCCATCAGCGGGTTGGCCTTGTAGGCATTAATCAGCAGCGGTTGTTCCGCCACCACCTGGATACGTCCTGCAGTCGGGAGTAGGCGGCGGGAGTCGAGCACAGGAGGCCCGGCAAGGTCCGGTGGCCGACGCTGCCCGACCCGTGGCGCGGGTCCTGCGCGCTGCTCACACGCCCATCCCCAGCGACGTCCCCGGCCCGATGTCCGTGCCAGACCTCCATCAGCGGGTTGGCCTTGTAGGCATTAATCAGCAGCGGTTGTTCCGCCACCACCTGGATAATTACACCACGATCCCAGTCCGATTGCTCCGCGGCATCGAGGGACGCCGCAGGCTGTTCGTGGAGAGCTGCAAGGCTAGGGAGGCAGCCTTTGACGCGAACCCCCCGCAGATGGGCCTCGATGCTGCAGCTTTTACCCTGGCTCTGGCTGCATCTGAAGCCATCAGTCCTCCTGCCGACTAAGTCGACTGTGATCGGATGGGTGGAGAGGAGGAGGCAAAGTGACTCTCCCGGATCAAAAGGAAAGACAGGCCTGTGCCAGTTTAGTTACTCAGTCGTGGGGGGACACGCAGAATAGACGAGATCACGGTAATGCACAACTGAAGGAGGGATTACACCCAGAAAAGGAAATAGACACTGGAGACCATTGCAGCTCCTTTTCAAGGAGGACCCGGACACTTCTGGCCACTTTGTGACTGTTGGCAGTTCTTTCTCCTGCATTTGTGGACAATCTTTAAGACTGTTTCACCATAAAAGATTGTTTTGCAAAAATTAGATCTAAGAAAAATTGCCAGTAATAGAACCCATAGAAATTAACCAAGATGATGAAAGAAATTAAGGAAATACAGCTGTTAGGAATCCAGTTGTGTCTGAGTTATTAGAATTGGAAGGCTATTGAGAGAATTTTGAAGTTTCAGAATTTGTGGTCATTTCCTGTCATAGTCAACAAAACTGAGTGTAAGATTAATTTTTGTGTTTTCTGGGGTACTGTAGGTGAATAGTAAATATTCAAATAGAAAAAACATGTATTATGTTTATCATAAGATAAATGTGTTTTAAGTTCGTGTGGAATTGGGTAGGTGTGGGATAGATTTGTTTTTGTTAATGTCCAAGCTTTTTGTTTTATTCAAGAATATGTAATCTATTCACGAGACTCAAAAAACAAAGAATCAAAAGATGCTCTGAGAAGTCTCCTTCATATTCCTATTTTCTGTTGCCAAATTCAAAACATTTCCCATCAGGTATCATTGTTAGTGGTTTGGGTTTTTTGGTCTCTGTTTTAGGGTTTTGTCGGGTTTTTGTTTATCTGGGGGTCTTGCTTTTTTTTTTTTTTTGGGGGTTTTTTTTTTTTTTTTTTTTTTTTTTTTTCTCCTTTTTACTGTATGCCTTTCAGCAGTTTCCTAATGCATATAAAATATCAAAATAGATATTCTACTTTTTTCCCTTGTTAAGTCAAAGTAGTATATATTATATACCTTTATCAGCATCTTGGGTTTTTGTTGGTAGTAGTGGTGATGAGATTTCTATATGGCTTTTTTTTTCTTTTTCAACTACAATGTAAGGATGTATCTTAATATGATGAACTAGTCATCTTTTGGACATCTGGGTCGTTTCAAAAATGTTTCAACATTTTCTATGTATTTATACATGTTTACTTATTGTCCTTAGAGTAGACTGTAAGTGGAAGCTCTGGACTAAAGGGCACATGCATTGGTACTTTTTATAGGTGTTACCAGAGTGCTCTCCTTGGGGCACTTCCAGTTTACCTTCCATTCATCCAGGGAGGAGTGTGTCTGTGTCTCCACAGCCTGGTCAATCAGATTCAGCCTTGGGAGGCTCTGACAGTGTAGTTTTAATTTGCATTTCTCTAATTATAAGCAGGGATGCATATGGTTTCAAATGTTTAAGAGCCATTTGTTTTTGCTTTACTTATTTTTTATTGGCTTGTAAGTCTGTCTGTCAATCACTAAAGAAGTTAGCCCTTTGTAATCTGAGATGGGAATATAGTTTCTCAATTTTGACTGCTTTTGATTCTTTTGCCATGCAGAAGTCTTCTTCTTTCTTTCTGTTCTTTTTCCTTTCTTCCTTTTTTTTTTTTTTTTTTTTTGGTGTGAAAAGTGTTTTAATGTAGCTGTATGTATTCAGTTTTTTTCTTTTGTGGCTTCTAGACTTTGAGTCACGTTTGGAAAGGCCTTTTTTCCCTTCCAGGATTATGAAGGAACGCTTTTGTTTTAGATGTTCACATTAAAAACTTTATTTGTTTGGAATGTTTTAGGTTCTCATTGCTCTTCTTTTCCAGTTTTTCTGCCTACTTGATTTTTTTCTATTGTAGAACTTTAGGATCAACTTTACTAGTTCCAATTTTTACAAAAGCTGTTGGTATTTTTTATTGGGTTGCATTAAATTTATATACTTTTGAGTTAGAATCAACTTTAAGAAGTTGTCTTCCTATCCAGTAATATGGTCTTTCCATTTGTTCAGGTACTTTTTCATGTCCCCAGATGTGGTTTAAAATTTCCTTTATATGGATCTTGCATATTGTTTATTGTTGTTGTAAGAATATTCATTCCAAGGTTGGTTGGTTGGCTGCTTGGTTTATTATTTATGGCTATCGTGAATGAGGTTTTGTTGTTTGTAAATTTGGATGCTGTTGATTTCCTTATAATTTTTGGTGCTCTTTTAAGCTTATTCTATTATCATTCGCATTACTCTTTCTTTGTATACAGTCGTATCATCTACAGAGGGGAATAGTTTTACCGGTTTCTACTTTTTAATACCTCTGTTGCTTTCTCTTGTATAATTGCTCTGACTAGAAGCTCTAGACCAATGTAAATAATAACAGTGAGGAGACATCTTTGTCTTTGTCCTGTCTCTAGTGGGAATGTATCTAGTGTTTCCCCAGTGACTATGATGCTGGCTTTGGGGTTGACATAATATGTTGTATCATGTTGAGGAAGTATACAGCTATTCCTATTTACTATCTGTTTTTTCCTCAAGAACAGTTGGGAATTTTTTTAAAGGTCAGTTCCATGTTTATGGATTTCTTTTTTTTCGAGGGATGAGTACTGGTTGTGAAGCAAGGCAGAGCTAGGGCCACTTCCTAGGCCTGTCACCTCAGGCAATATCCCTAACTTCTTTCTCTGTGCCTCCGTTTCCTGCTCTGTAAAATGGGAACCATAACCCACACTCCACAAGCTTTGAAAAGTCAATGAGATCAAATGCATAAAGGGCCTGTGATAACCTCATCTGAGACTAGAAAATACAGTAGCCATATCCCCATGACAACAGAGGCCCTCCCTGGACATGGGATGGTTCAAGTCCCCACAGTCAGGGGCCATAGCCTCCTAAATGATCCATCTGCTAACTGGACAGCTGACACACTGAAGGTAGCATGGGAAGCTCAGGTAGCTGTATGCTTCCAGAGGCCCCTAAACTGAGCATTGCTAGATTTAGCAAATAATAATATAGGACACCCAGTTAAATGCGAAGTTCAGATACACAACAGATAATTTTTTTGTTTTGTTTTTAAAGATGAGCGGTAAGGGGATCTTAATCCTTGACTTGGTGTTGTCAGCACCACGCTCACCCAGTGAGCGAACCAGCCATCCCTATATAGGATCCGAACCCGTGGCCTTGGTGTTATCAGCACCGCACTCTCCCGAGTGAGCCACGGGCCGGCCCATGTTCATAGGTTTTCTAATAGTGGTCCTCGCCTTTGGAATGAAACTCATTTGGATATGATACATTATTCCTTAGTATGATATTGGATTCTGTTTGCTAATTTTATTTAAGATATTAAATTAGAATTCATAAGTGAAATTAGTTTATAGTTTGTCAACCTTTTTAATGTGTAGATCAGTGTTATACTCATTTCATGTAAAGAATATGGAAGTACTTTTTGTTTGTTTTCTCCTCTCTGTAGAAAGCTAGCATTAGAACTACCTGCCTGGTTTTTAAAATTTCACAAAATTTCCTTATGAAAACGATTCAGGGCTAATGCTTTCTGGGAGACTAGTTCATAGATAATTTTCTATTTTGTCTGAGGTCACTGGAGTTTGTAGGGTACTTGCACTGACTTAGAATATAGAATTTTCTAGCTTATTTTGCCTGTCTCTTCTGAAATGTGCCTCTCTCTTCACCTCTTGGCGGCAGAAGGAAATTAAAGAATTAAGAATATCATGCAGTGTCTAAAATTTATAACCTATATAAAATTCACCCACAGTTTTCTCTATAAATTAGGTTTGACCCTCACTGTCATGGCTTCTATAATTCTGGTGTGAAATGGCTGGAAACCAAGTTGTGTTGGGCGGATCCTGCCACCTGGCATACTTCCTGTGGCCTGGATTTCCTCCTCTGAGGAGATGTGAGAACAGGCCCGAAGAAAATAAGCACTTGCTGCGCTAGCAGAAAGAAGAGGAACTCATTTCTAAATAATGCATTTATGCTTTTTCAGTTTTTTTTCATTTATCAATTTTAGGAGCGGTTTCTCAATTTTATTGCTTTTTTCAAAGAAACAACTTTGAGCAGTTTTTTTGTTTTTGTTTTTTCTAAAAAGATGACCGGTAAGGGGATCTCAACCCTTGACTTGGTGTTGTCAGCACCACGCTCAGCCAGTGAGCGAACCGGCCATCCCTATATGGGATCCGAACCCGGGGCCTTGGTGTCATCAGAACCGCACTCTCCCGAGTGAGCTACGGGCCAGCCCCTGAGCAATTTTAAACCTTTTCTTTTTATTTTATTAATTTCTGCCCTTATCACCTACCTTTTTTAAAAAAAAATTATTCTGTTCTTTTTTGAATTTTTAACTCCTTGAGTTGTGTTTTTCTTTTATCAATTTTTATCCTTCTTTTCCATTACAACCATTTAAGCCAGGTAATAAAATTCCTTCTGAGTACCATTTTAGTTGAACCCCACACATTTAGGTACATAGTGGTTTTCTATTATTTAGTTCAAAATTTGTCCCAATTGTTGTATTATCTTTTTCTTCAACCAGTGAGTTATTTAGAAATACATTACTTCATTCCCAGATGTATTCAGGTTTTTATGTTCCTTTTGTAACTGATCTTTTTTTTTTTTTTAGATGACTGGTAAGGGAATCTTAACCCTTGGCTTGGTGTTGTCAGCACCACGCTCAACCAGTGAGCTAACCAGCCATCCCTATATAGGGATC